AATGCTTGGGACCTAATTTCTATTACCGAAACTTGGATGCACCAAGAGGTGACTGTTTCTGAGGTTGAGATAGCCGGAATGTCACTCATCCGGAACCACCGCCCAAGCAGAGGAGGTGGGGTCTTACTCTATTACCGCAGCGACCTGCAATGTGCCATATTCGATGAGCTGGAAACTTACGTTACCGACTCACTCTGTTGCCGTATCCGTCTAAGACACAACAACACATGTCTCGTAGCTGTCGTTTAATGCCCACCAACGTCCACTCCGGAAGTGGATTCACGCTTGATACGTGGCCTGAACAGAGTAACACACACGAGAGACAGCCACATTCTCATCTCCAGGGACTTCAATCTAGACGATCTGAAGGTATCGGCATCACCTAGTGAACAGTTTAACACAGACTTGCATGAAAGGATCAATAATATTCCATTGTACAATCATGTCACCATGCCCACTAGATACAGGACAGCAAACAAACCGTTCATATTGGACCTTGTGCTCACGAATGAAGAGCTCATGGCTGACAAGTTATTGATGGATAGTCCATTAGATCTCAGTGGCCATGTAGGGAGAACGTTCAACTGTGTGTTATGCAGAGTATCCATCTGAACACGCGGAACTAACTCATACAATAACACGCTACCACGTATTGAAAGAACTCGTCCACGCATCTGCTCGGGAATGCTCAAACAGTCCCCTTGACGACGTTTGGATAGAGTTCGTTGATAGACCCAACGACATCGTCAGAGACCAAGCCAGAGACCAAGACACTTCGTCCCGCGAAAATGTTTTCAATTCTAAGCTGTCGGACTCGAATATGCCTGGCGATAAGGGATGTAGCATGGCGTGCCTACAAGATAAACCCCAACTCAGAGACTTGGGGCAATTTCCTGACCCTTCGCAACCATTGCACTGCACTTGTCCGTGAGGATAAAGTAACTTATCAACGGTACCTGGCCAAAAATGCCTGGGAAACAACAAGCTGCTGTATAGGCATGTCGACAATCATCGTATAGTGAAGCATGGAATCCCTCCACTTTTCATGACAAGCGGTAGAGTGCAAAGCGCCGAAGAAGCAGCTAACACCGTGCGGCTACAATACGCCCCAACTGACGAACTCATAGCCTCTACCTGTCCCATAATGTCATGCACATTACCGACTCCATTGTTTACAAATGTAATTTTCAATTCGCCAATTGCGTTAAGAAAATTACTCTTACTGCGCGATAATAGCCCTCCGGGAGCAGACAACATCCGCCCAAAAAATACTGAAGGCTGCGGCCACCAAGCTCGCGGAACCACCGTCACAATTCTTCCAAAGGTGCTTTGATGAACAACAAGTCCCCACTATGTGGAAGCGTGGCATTATCCCCAAGTTTTATAGGCGGAAGCCGTTCAGAGTCTTCAAACTATCACCCAGTGACTCTCCTCCTTATGCTCGCGAAGGTGATGGAAGCGGCCGTCGCTGAGGCTCTAATGGACTACCTGGAAAAATGCAACATCTTGGCACCGGAGCAGCATGACTTCCGTCAACACCGATCATGCACCACCAACCTACTGATTGCACGGAGTAGTTAAATGGAAGTGGCTGATGATGGGGTCGGAGTTGACTTCATCTACCTGGATTTCTCCAAAGCTTTCGACCGCCTGGTTCACCGCATTCTACTTCACCGGCTACAGAGCTAAGGAATCGGAGGTCATGTGCTTGGTTGGATTGGCAACTTTCTTCACCAACGAAAGCTTCAAGTACACGTTAGGGGATCACTCATTAACCCGATTGCGGTGGAATGTGGTGTCCCACAAGGCTCAGTGGTGGGACCGCGCTTATTCCTGGTGTTTATCAACGACCTGACAAGAGTTGTCTCCTCAAACTTCTTGCTTTTCGTCGATGACGTCAAGATATGGCGTGCGATCAGTAACAATGAAGATCACGATCAACTCCAACATGATCTAGATTGCATTTATGTATGGTCGAAGAGGAACCTGCTTCAGTTGAACATAGCTAAGTGCAAGGGGATCCATCTGCGTCACCAGCCGGTGAGCTCTTACAAGCTTGGAGACCACAACTTGCAATAGACCTCTCAGGAGCGTGACCTGGAGGTGCTGGTACAGGAAGATCACGGGTGTTCAAGACAAGCAGAGAAAGTGACGAGAACCGGAAATCAACATTTCGACCTACTTCGCAGAGCCTTCGGTCGGTTTTACCCCTCAATCTTTCCCCTAATTATTAACGCCTACGTGCGGCCGCACGTGGAATATGCTATTCAGGCGTGGCAGCCGTGGCAGAAACACGATCCCGTTGCTCCCGAGACTGCTCAACGACGGGCAACCAAGAAGATCAGGGGCCTCTTTCATCTGCCCTATCAGCTTGGACTGAAACCTCTAAGAATTTACAGCAGTCGATATCGGCTTTTGCGGGGCGATCTCACAATGGTTTATCAGATTCCGAAGAACCCAAACCACATTTGCCGTCCGCTGCTGGAATTGAACCACAACACTAACCTAAGAGGTCATCCCCTGAAACTGTAAATACGGTATAGATGGCTTGAATGCGGTTGAAATTTCCTTTCCCTCCGCGTGTGCCATCCTTGGAACGCTCTCCCCAATTATGTCGTCCCTGCTCCCAATCTGGCGATATTTAAAAAAGGAGTTAACGACGCGTTGTTTCATTTGCATTTCATTTTATGACTTGTTAGCCAGGGGCAACAAAACGCAATCAAACGGTGTCTCACCAAACTCCCAACCAATGGATTTAGGGATTTATACTTTTAGTACACGAACATCTCCGCTAGTCTACGTAAGTCTATGGTGAGCCCACCAAAACGCTTTTCACGTTAACATGCAATTTAATTTTCGCAATTATTTCCATCCCGCGGAACTTGTTAAGCATTGCATTTTTTACCCGTAATACACCATTGTTCCATTGTACTAGGCTTGCTAAACCCATTTTCCGTTGTTAACGCAATACTTGCTCTTGTGCGCATTCCACGTCACGGTGAATGGAGTACCCGTTTGGATTGAACGTTGGATCATCGGACATTTAGGTAAAAACCACCAGTTTAGATCGCACTACACAATAATGTGGGCTGGGAACGAGCCTCCTCATTTTTGGCACACGATAACCTCACGCAGAATTTTTTGGTTACGTGCTGCATTGAACACATCGCTGTTCACAACAGGTCAATACTTCTATCTCTTCCCCTTGATGCTGCCTTTCCTTACTAGAAGTGGCACGTTTGCACCAAAACGAGACGGGTTGCGTGCTGATAGGTGCGGATGCGTTTGCAACAGGACACGCGTGGTGACCTGACGATACCATTCACTTCGGTGCACGGATGGGAAAGGGCGAAAAATCGTTAAACACGACTGATTCCGAGCAGCACATAGACGATTGCACCACACATAGCTAGCAGTGGAAAGAAATGGTGAACATCGGTGCCAGATGCAATCGAAGGTGTATGTAGGGCGTCTTACTAAACAACAAAGGTTATGACCACCCACGAAAAATACGGAAACTGCTGTGGAATAACGAAGCCATCAGCCACGCATGGACAGGAAAAAGGTATGCCTACTTTACATGTGAAGGCCGTAGTTAGTAAAAATTAATTAAAAGCACTAGACGATACTGCATGGTTTCAAATAATGCTATTTAATTGCTTCCGAAACGGTCCCAGTAACGGAATTGGCTGAACTTCACTTCAATGGGTGTAGCGGTTCAGACCAGGATTATGCGCCGCAGTCCAATCACCCAACAAGGGTGACGTTCCCAATCAGCCGTTAACCATCGTGAGAAGAGGTATCCGAAGTGAATCGGTAGCATAGGAGTAGGGGTTACGGTTAAGATCCAAAATCTCCTGGATCCCAGTCACAGTCCCGCTATCTCAGCTAAAGAGTGCGCATAAGCAAGAAAACGATAGTGTTGTCAGCCGGGACAACCTGACATTCATTCTATGCCATTTTCGTAGCTCTAACGTGTTTCGTTTGTTTAAAATAATTTACAATCGAACCCGGAAAGAGGACACAGAAAGCCTGCATTGGTTCCAGTGTTGGTGTTTCCTCACTTCTGGCAGTTTAGGAGATGCACTGTGCCAAGTTGCACCTCAAATTCCAATAAAGGTTAGGAAGGAAGTTGCACGAAACTGAATAACAGTAACCGTGATCGAATAAAGCACTACCTCACACTTTAATTTCACCCTGGTAGATGCACTGTTATGCGCCTGTGTGCAGCGGGCGAAAGCTTGCCATGCATTACTGCCCTCATAAGGGTTTGCTGTAGGTACACTAGTTGAAATAAACTGTAATCTACAGTCAAACAGCCTTAATCATGTTGTTGCAACAGGTGCTTGAACAAGTAACTGCACACTTTCATTGCGATGGAGAGATAAGCCATGAATTCAAGGCAATCCTCCTTACTGACAGATGGGGACGCACTCAAACGGTGTTGGAATTAGCGCATTCCAACCCCCTCACTCTTTCTTGGATTCAGTAGACATCGTCATCATCGAAACCTCTCGGTTCATTTATGTCATGCTCTCTGTCGGATGCTGACGAAGAGACTGGAGTTTCATAGGAGCAAGATGAGAGTACTTTATCCCGAAGGTATTATGCTATTAGTGAGCTGCCGTGCAGCCTCCCTTCGTGGTAATACTTTCAACCTGAGAATGTACATAAAGTTGCTTACCCACATTTACAAAGTAATGATATATGCCCTATAATCAATCACAATAAGTACTGTAAGTTTGAGGACTAATGTGCTTGTGTAGCTAAGCCACCTAGATATGAAGTTATACGGTCACTGCAGAGCAGTGGATCGCAAGGACAGGTAGCGTGCGCTGTGGGTGCCACTGTTTTTCGTCGTATACGAAGGTCTAATGGATAAGAAACAGAAGCTGGATACCCGTTCACATAAAGGCGACCTGTTTTCATCGCACAGCCTCTTTGGACGTTGGTTTGAGTTGCGGCTTCAGTGTGCGGGGTTGAGTGGGCGTAAAATGTACCTTGCTCGGGCCATTTCCATGGATGACGATGGGGTTGGTGTTGGTTTTTGTGTTGTGCAGGTACCCGGTAGTTTCATTGAACAGTAACTCGACTTCAGCTATTAAAAAAGAAGATTGGCATAGTGCTAAACTATTCAAATAATAAAAAGAGGAGAGGAAAACTACAACTTAATGTCCAAAACCTGACAACACCGCACACATTAGACATGACTGCGAGTTTGCTACAGTGCACTCAAATGCTTGCAATAGCATGTATTAAAGTGAATATTTTGTCTTTAACATGGTGTAGGTTAGCTGGATTCTGACCAAACGCAAAGTGAAGAGCAGTACGTGTGGAATCAACTTACACAGAGCTCCATTCAGATTTTGGAATAATGCCGACGATTTGTCCAAGGCTATATCCAGTTCCTTCTGTGGTTAGATAAAAATATGTTTTCAGCAGAAATGTTACTAATGAGACTACAACTGCTACTGTAAATATTGTCAAAGTACACTTATTCGGTGTGAGCAGGGAAATTAAATCTTCTATTATCCTGTTCGGTAGAGTTGACAATAGGTGACTGCTAAAGTGCTTTTTCCCGAACTGCTTGGCACACGCTCGATGTTAAAAGCATCGGATAAACTGAACAGTTCACATTAAAATGCAGTAAGAGCATAATGAAGCTCTAGCTAAAATCGTACGCTTGTTTAGTCATTCAGCCAAGCTTTGTTGTCACTTCAGCAAAAATATGGTGATACGCAGGTTGGGTTTCGTAAATGCAGAATGTGAAGTCATTCAGCTATGCGAAAAAGATCTAACCATGTCATTAGAGGAGTAAAGGATTACCAAAAATAACAACGTGGCACTGTATAAAAGCCCATGAATCCCTCCATTTGTAAATTTTCTACCACCTGACCGTAGGATAGGCAAGGATAATTATGGGGAGCTCAGACTGAGCGCACGTCATGGTAGGCTTCAAATGTTTCCCCTCAAAACGAATCAGTCCCGCAGCTGCGGAACGAGACAGACGGTCGATGAGGCCCCAGCTTTTAACAATGACTACCCCTCAAGGTAGTTATAACGCCTACTTAATATCATGGCCCAAATAAACCGCTCTAACGTAACAGGAAAACGCTGGTGTAGCCTGAACACAGGCAGTACGGCTTTAATCGGCACGAACACGATGAGAGCAAAGAGTTTGTTGACAGCGTTGACTGAGCAATTGTTTCTCTGGGCGTGTAATCTATGGTGCGTACTTCAAACGGAGAGCGTGTGCTGTGGGAACTACGCCTTCCGACTTGGGCTCACTTCAGTGTTAACTTGAAGATACTGTCTGAACTCACGCCCATCAGCGAAATAACTGAGTCGTCATCTCACGTGGTCTCATCACGTAAACGAAAATTGCACTAAAGCTAAGATACTATCGTGCTATGTCTCCCGAAAGGTCTTCAACCGCGCCTGGCTATTTAACCTAACGGTGTATCACCGCTTGCGTATTATCGCACTGTATATATTGCTCAGCTGTGGCTTTTGCTGGACTTATAAACAGGTAATACAAAGCGGTCAACAGGTCACTGAAGTATCTTGCTAGATGTAGCGGTATTTCAACGATGAAGTTTACTGACCTCAATGTATTCAAGCACTTTCACTTCTGCCAAGACTGATGTCTAAGATGCTCACTGATGCCAGTCACCCTTTTGACAGTGTTGTACTATTGGAAGGTAGTCCGATTTCGTTGACCAAACAAAGGCACAAAGTCACATATGCTCGCATATGAGCTTACAGTACGTAAGTTTTTCATTCTTTGGCACCTTTTTGATGGATCAAAATTTAGTCCAACAGGCACTGATGGTCAAACTAATTCGAGAATATCAGCTCTGCCACGTCCTTAACTTGCTGACGTACCATATCCGTTTGTCATACTTTTCATAAATTTATCTGTGTCCTTGGCGCGTGTATTGTGACGGAATCGTCACTTTTCATGAATGTTTAAAGCGCATTGTTGACTTAATGTGACTTGCATAACCTACATTTTGTAACATCACTTGTGTCCCAACAGGTCACAATGTGTCTCGATAGTTACATAAGTGGCCACTTGTAAACTGCCATTAAAATTGTTCTAACGTAAGGGTTGAATAATCCTCTCATTACTTATCCAGTACTTTGACGAAGGAAAACTAAAAAGTCGATGAACGCGGGGCTACTGTTTTCAGCCTAAATGACCTGTTCAATGCAAACACCGAATGTAGGTAGGTGGCAGCGATTCGGGTTCTCACTCGTCTTAGTGCTTAATGTTAGGTGGGATTTAGATTGGATTTCAAGGGACCGGTTTGTCTGCATACTTACAGGAGCAACAAGTATGACATCCCATTCCAACTCTGCGCCGTCCGTGGAAGACACTATAGAAAAAGTTATCAACAGTACCAGACAGTCATATGTGAAAATTTTCACAGCTTTTCCAATTTTCACAGCCCTATTCTGACCATATCCAATGAAATCACTAGCCATAGAAGCAGGAAGTATCATTCATAGATCGTTTAATGACTTACACGTGCGACCTCATTCAAGAAGATGTTTGTGTAGTACAATTGATCGTCATCCTCGTCCGCGATATCGGCCATGGAAACGAGTTTTCGTATGTATGATACTGGGCCAATAAAGGCACCGGAGTTCAGAAACCGCTTCTCGTTAGGACCAACGATGGGATACAACTTCTGAGAAGCAAATGAAGTTAGGATGAGAAGGCTATCCGAAATTAGACGGGTTGGTATGCCGGAGTGCGACAAAGGGCGATAAATATATTAAAGTAATCGGAACAACTGTGTGTAATTTTTACCTAACTAACCTATCCTTGGTTGTGTATCGTTGTTAATTATCCCGTAGGGCATGTTTTGAAATCCTGGTCAACAGCCTTCTTTCAGTTCGGCTTAAATACTTGCTACCGCAAGTACAATGAAAAAGATAGATACAAGAGGCAGCCACTTTAGAATCTGGCAACTTGTTAGCTTGATGCAGTAGTACTAGCTTGGCCGCATACTCGCACCTTTTTAATGTACTGACCGAGACGACATCTGAATCGCCTCTCATTTTGGTTCCCTTACAGTGATAGCTTAATGCATAAATTCTTCTTACGGACGTCAGCTACCCCTTTCTCATTTGCTTTGTGTTTGAGTGGCATGCTATGAATCTCGCTGGACGTCCGTTTTCCTGTAGCATCGCTGAGACGCGTTGCAACACACTGGCAATTGTCTCTTCGGAGTAGATCGTATGAGATTTTGTAAAAGTGATGCGGACAAGCGCTCGTTTGTAGCTGATGTGACAGAAAATGTTAGGGTCGAGATACCGTCCTGTTCAAGTAGGTTTACGACACACCGAGCGAGTGAGTGTGTTATCTGGATTTCTTTTCAGGTTCACATTCGTAAAGGAAAAGTGTTAGCTGCTTCGTTTTGCATCGTACATTTGAGAGAAGGATGGCACTGGTTCAGAGCATCAAAGAGATGTGCTGCTCCTTGAAAACCATGAACGACAACAAATGTATCAGCAAGGTATGTGCTATATAATTGCACATTTTGTAGATAAGAACGAAGTTGGGTGTTTGCCAAGTGGCACACGAAACTAGCAGCTAGCAGTGGCTCAAGAAGACTGCATATAACCCCGTCATCCATTCGTCCATATATGGTTCCATTTAGTTGAGACAATGTCTTTCGCGCACAGGCAAAGTAACGACGTGAGATGATTCGACAGGAGGATTTCGGAGCAGTTTACAAGAAACCTGGTGGCCAACGGTCCAAAGCTGCCAGCTGGCTTCATCGTCCGACATATTTTTGATTGAGCTGCCTTCCAACATCCGCAAGAATCGTTCAGGATCATTAACCGACAGTGCACTGCTCGTCTGTTTCCGTTAGCAAAAGCTTCAAAAATTCCTCAAACGAAACAATTTATGTAAGCAGACGGCGTTTGCGACTACTCTTATTTTGCCTTGGTGAGGTTACCTATTACCACTACTTAAACCGAACGACTTCACGTCATGTCTTACCATTGTGTGTAACGTACCAACTCCATAGATTCCTTTTAAACATCTGTTGAGATGGTGTGAAATATCTGAATGCAGATTATTCCGTTGAAACGTTGTTCCTTCTAACTATATTCTCAATATTAACTCCACTTTTCTAAAGCATTCAGCTGGTTCAGCTTTTGAAAATCCGTTTAGAAATTACCGTGAATGACTCGAAAAATAGATGGTGAGTAGAAAGATTTTGGATGAACTTTTGCTGATTCGTTTAGCAACTTACAAGCCAGATAGTCTAACCTCCAATTTGGAAAACACCAGCTGACCATTTCGCTTTATTGAGACCCATCGTTGGTGTGCGTTCAGGGAAATGAATCCATGACCATCAGCAGACTGCGCCAAATGGCCGTGGGTTTATACCATTGAGCCAGGTGAGACGGTGTAGACCGTGATAACATGCAAACTAACTAGGATATGGCATGATCCACCTCCGAATGTCATGCGTACATAGTTGCTGTGTTGTGGAACTCGTGACCTTTGAAGTTCAGCCACTGTCCTGGTGGCAGTGGAGAATAGTTCGTGCTATATTCCAGTGAGCTCATAAGTTATAACAGTTCGTCACCGCTCTTGGCTCCGTGACGTAAGATGCTGGCCAGTTGGCACAAGCTGATAACAGTCATTGGTTGGGTACCCTGAAAGGACCGATGAAGTGAGTACGCCTGACAAGCCTTAACAGAGCGAAACGGCAGTCTGGAGATTTTCCGGATTGGCACTTAGGCTATCTGGGTTGTGACGTGTTGTGACGAATCAGTTTGAAAAATGTATTTGCTTTAAGTGATTCAGCTGTATAAATCGATCTTACTATGGAGATTCACTGTATCTCGCAGTGTCGACAAACCCCATTTATTTACTTACACTTCCTGTTCATAAATATTAGCCGTAGAGTATGAGTCAATCAGATTGATAATACTGTATGAGTGTCAGCCCTAAGCTGTTATTGATGCTAGTGTACCCTGCGTTATAACAACTCCTCTGTATGCACAAAACGACAGGAATGTTAGCGATGTTTCAAATCTAGAGTACTTCGCACACATCTTGTACATCCAGATAATCGTTAACTAAATGCTGCGAGTTACCTATGCTAAACGTATGCATGAATGGGTGACCTTTAGTTATACGAATTCAAACCGTGCTTGCTTTAGTTGGATTCTACACTAACAAGACTATGGTATACGGTCATCCGTACGAAGAAAGACACTTGACAACCAGTTAACTAGTTTAGGTGAACTCATCAGTTGTACACACTCCATCTATTCAGTAGGGTGATAAGACAGAACCTGCACTCCTGCCCTTCCCAATCACAGTGAAACCTCCGAATTTGATCAACTCTCTAGGTTAACCATTTTTATTGATTACTTGTACGTTCCCCATGTAGATCTTTTGGACCCAACCCACTGCATATTGACTACCTCACCAGGTTGACCACTTTGGTCCAGTCCCTTGAGTGGTCAACTTACAGAGGTCTTACTGTAGTAATTAAGGCTGAAGACCGTTTATATCTGCAAAACATGCACTGACGTTGGGTTAAAGGATCCGCTATAGTGTAAACACTAGTCACTACCCTTCGTGATGGAAACAATGTACAAAATAAAACGAATGTGGCAACTGTTTAACCACATCCTATTAATCAATTCATCAGGTTTTAGAACGCCCGTGAAGTATTAACTACATATCAGTCCAGGTTCACCGTTACTTCAAGCAAACTAACCGCGTACCAAACCTTCTCACAATCCCAGCAGAAAAAATCATGGTATTAATGGATGCCCTCAGCAGGTTCAGATAATCTATTGGTAAGGTCACAACTTTTAGGCCATTTGGGATTGATTTCCTGTTCCAGTTTTATAAACCTGCAGTGCTCTGAGGTTGGTAAATCGTGATTGAACTACAGGATTATAAGCATTAAGCAATGATAAGGCCTTCCTTTATCTAACGTCCTTACCTTTTTGAGGCTGGGATCCATCGAAAAATTACAGTTGCGGTACACCCTAACCTATGGTCAGTGATGGTAAAGAATTTTAGCTGGAAGATTGCTGACGAAGCCCTACACGTCATTTTTTGTAAACTGCAAGTAAGAGCGAACTGTAGCCATGGTTACTGAAGCTCTTTATAAGTAAAGCATATCTAAATAGCATGAATTTTACCCAAACTAGTTGGAGGACCGTGGCTTGGATCAACTATTTTCAAAATCAAGAAAGCATTAGTAGTAAAGTTGGAAAACTGCGACACTTCTGCATAGGCATCTGATTCTGAAATGATACAATACGTGAGTTGTGAAATAGATAAATAGAAATCCATGCTGGCAAGATATTAATCGTGTGTGGGTTGATATCATACTGAATCATGTCAGCAAATCACGTTTTTTCTAAAGACGTTAGTGACAACTATCGATGACATCACTAGTAGTTGCCTGTTTGTTTGATATGCCCACTGAGTAAGGAAACATAGGTAGAATCTCAGTTGGTTCTTTACATAAACAACCTAGGTAGCTAGACGTTGATAAACTAAGTAAATTGATTATCGCACATTAGTGGTAACTCTAGTGGTCGAACAGCTTTATACCTAATTTAGATATTTGTCTTTTTTAGTATCAAAGCGGTGTACCACCCCCACACCCGTTTTTTATACCTCCGCTAGTTCACTGCGATAGAGTGGCTGGTATGTAAACGGTATGCTCCACAGAATACACCATATGGTTCCCGCACCAGTGAGCAACGTGCCATCAAAAGTCAAGACAGTAATGCACAAGTGTAGGACAAGAAACAACTTCGGTAGACAACCAATACACGAAGTTCGTAATATATAAGTAAAAAAACATATACGGACTGCTTCCAATTTAATAGTTTCTTTGCTAAATACTACGACAAATTTTTATTAGTGTTGGGCATATCGCATTAGAGCACTCAACCCTAGCATGTAGTAAGACATACTACATACTACATACATACTACATAAAATTCAAATAGTAGTGGTATCGACCAAGGCTACATCAGTGTTTACTCTCTCCTTCTCTGCACAACTTAGATACTAAGGTTGTATATATGTGTGAACCTGTCTCTCACACGCCCTTTCCGGAAGTCGGGGTCCCACAACATACACATGCTTATCATTTGTGGATAATTCGGCTGAATTGCAAACCATCGGTTATCTATTTACCGCACCACCTACCTCCATTTGTTCCAGTCCATGTAGAAACGCACTGCGACGCTTTACCCATGTCCCTTTATCTATCTAGCAAAAAGATAAGCATTCTCATCTGCTTCATTTTAAGCGTCATTTCCTATTTACTAAATATACGTTTTACGAGCCGGCAGCCGATTTGCTGGTGCGTCTTGGCGGACTTTCGCATCAAAACTGTGAGCGCATAGGCATATCACTCACCATTCATTATACAGCTATTGGGCCGTAATAAATTAGAAGAAAAAATATGCAAGACAGGCACACCGGCTGACCGTCGCAACGAGACTGGACCTTAACGTGGTGCGACGGTTTGCGTACCTCATTGACCCATTGAGCTATACTGGGTGGTGCCTCCGGGCACCTTGAGAGCTACTCCTACCAGGTTGGTCAATGGTGAGAGGTCAGACAAACTCAGTCTCCTGGTCCTCCAGGTTGGGGGTTTGAAATGGGATGGCGTCCATTTCTGTA